ATTCAGAATCATTGACTACTTTATAGTTACTATTCTACTCCTTTCTATATCCGTGGATATTATCTCAGTTCAAATTATCATCTTTCGCCATTGGTTACCTATAGTCCACTTTTCACTTGCAGTCAGGCTAGCACTCCTAAAATGTGCCAGATCTTATAACTCCATTCTTTTTGAGTAAATTCACAAATTTCTTACTTCTGATATCATCTCTCTAACATTCTCCTATTTGCCTTCTCTTTTGCAGTCACATTGGTCATAAAAAGGCTTTAGTCTTTCTTGTAAAAACTAAAATGGTAATCATATGCCCATCTCAGAACTTTTGAATTTTTCCCCCATTGCTTTGATCATTCTTTCCATAGATACACACATAGCTTGATTGTACACTTCATTCAGGATTTTTCTTATCACACCTTATCAGAGAAGGCTTCCCCATCACTGCAAATAGAATTGAATTTTTTACACCACCATTCTGATATTTTTAAAAATTTGTCTTTTGTAGATAGCATATATTTGGGTCTTGTTTTCTTATCTATTCAGCTGCCCTGTGTCTTTTGATTGGAGCATTTAACCCCAAATATATGCTGCCTACATGAGATCAACCTCAGAACAAAAGACCCACACAGGCTGGGAAAAAACAAAAACCAAAAAAAACTTCTGGAGGACTTTAAGGGAGAGACCGACAGCAACATATTCATAGTACGGGACTGTAACACCCCACTGACTTTACATACTTTTCCAGACAAAAAATCAACAAGGAAATAGTGACTCTAAATGACACACCAGATCAGATGGTTTTAATTGACATTTATAGAACATTTCACTCCAAGACTGCAGAATAGACATTCTCCTCAAGTGCACATGGCACATTCTCAAAGATAGACCACATGTTAGGACACAAAACAAGTCTCTATAAATTCAAGAAGATTGAAATCATATCAAGCATCTTCTTGGGGCTTTACACCATCGAATACTATGTGGCTGTTAAAAAGGAGAATCTCTTACCCTTTGAGACAGCATGGTGGGACTTGGAGAGTGTTATACTAAGTGAGATAAACCATTCAGAGAAAGACAAGTACCACATGAACTCACTGATATGTGGCATCTAATGAACAAAATAAACTGGTGAACCAAATAAATCCAGAGACATACAAGCATGGAACAGACTGATGAATCTCAGATGGAAGGCGCGCGCGCGCGTGTGTGTGTGTGTGTGTGTGTGTGTGTGTGTGTGTATAGGAAGGTATTAACCTAAGAACTTATATGCATATATGCATATTCCATGGACATAGACAATAGTGTCAGGTGCAGGGTGGAGGGGATCAGTGGGGAAAAAGGAGACATTTGTAATACTTTCAACAATAAAGATAAATTAAAGCATTTAAAATAATTGTTTATTTTCTTCCTCCTTTCACTAGAATGTAGGCTTTAGATTCATGAAAGCAGGGGCAATATCTTTTTTTTTCTCACCTTATTGCTGTATCTTCAACACCTAACAGAGAGCCTGACTTAATGAATATTTTTTGAATTGAATAAATGAAATAGTTACTTGCTTCTTTGATTATCTAAAGAGAATATGCTGTCCGGCCGGGCGTGGCTCAGTGGTTAAGCGTCCACCTAGGATCCAGGCGATCAGGGTTCAGTTCCCGGTCAGGGCACATCCCCGGGTTGCGGGCTGCAGCCCATCAATGACTCTCTCATCATTGATGTTTCTGTCTCTCTCTCTCCCTCTCCTTTCCTCTCTCTGAAATCAATAAAGATATATTTAAAAAATAAAAATAAAAAATAAAGAGAATATGCTTTATCAGTGAGTGTTTACATTGTTTTATTTTTAAATAATCAGCTTCCAGGTGAGTAGCATAGATAATAATGATTCCATTTCTATTTTATCATCAATTGATAACAAGTTAATGGTCAACTATCTTACCTTCATTTCCTGTCTTAAAAGGTATAAATTAGCTATCAAGGAAGGTAGTCTAAAATCTATAAGTTATCAAGGAAAGTAATCTGATCATAGAGGCCTTGATATTCATCACATTTAGACTGTTTCATGAAAAACGTTTAAGGTATTTTGTTTTATTTTGCCAAATATGAATCTTCTTGAAACTATTATTACTTAAAAATAGAATATATTAGATAAGCTATATGAAATTAAAACTAGTGAAGGACTGGCTGAAGTTTTCCATAATCATTGATCTCTTTTTTAATTGTATTCCCCTTTCCATGAATAATATTTTAGAATTTAAAAATATTATATTCTTTCCATTAAAGTTCCTTTAAAATGAGTGCCTAATCTTTTCTGTTTTGTTTTTACTCAAGTATTTTTTTGTTTTTCTCTCCCTATCCCCTTTAATAACTCAAGTGTTTGTTAGAACCATTTCCTTTATCTTCTTAAAAAATTCTCATGTAAAGTTATGCCCTAAGGCTTGGTTTGAATTTTGTAGCACTATTGCTTATTTACTAACCATTGGTGTTTTGTGAAACATACAAGCCTACTAATAGAAAATTATTGCTGGTCTTACCATTCTTAACCTAATTAAATGCCACCTTTCAGTAATACCTTCCTTTTACCATCCTTCTACAAATTTCCTGTCCACTTCATGTTTCCTTCATTCACTTATAAGCACTTAGAATATTACATATTTTATCCTTTTATTTATTGTATACCTCTGCCTTTTTAAAACAACAATGTTTTTTATTGATTTCAGAAAGAGGAAAGGAGAGGGGGAGAGAGAGAGAAACATCAGTGATGAGGGACAATCATTGATTGGCTGCTTCCTGGAAGCTCGCCCCCTACTGGGGATAGAGCTCACAACCCAGGCATGTGCCCTGACCAGGCACCTCTGCCTTCTTTTTCCTTACAATGTAAGTTCTATGAGGGCAGTTGTCATCTTCTTAACTGTTTTTTCAACAGTCCTGAGGAGAATGCCTAGAAAATAGTAAATATTCAACATATTTATTTTCTGAATGGCTGAATGAAAAGTTTCATGCTCTAACTTTACAGTAAAGGAAATGTATATAAGAGTTTTATAAGGTGAGTGAACATGATGACACAAACTGGTGTTAGGTAGGTGAAACTGGGCAAAAGAATTATTTGCTTGGTTCAATGAAAATTTTTTTAGTTTTGAGTTTTATTTCCTTTAGATACTGTGAGCAATCTTCACTACTTATTGTCTCCTACCCTAATTCATATATTGTTGTTGAGTACTCGCATATTATAATCATTTGAGTTTGTGATTGCTTATGTAGAAGTATGGAAATCCATGGCATGCTTAAATCAAATTTACTGAGTTGTCCTTGTCATGAGCATGATGAATGTAAGTAATATTACACCTTAATAATCCTATACTGATAGTTGGACTTTTATCAGTGGATAATGCAGATAAAGTTGTAATATGACCTGCACTTTAAGGTTGAGTAGTAAGTGATTCTTTACCCTGGAGAGGCTGATAATACTGCAAAAATGGTCACTAGATGAGGAAGAAGAGATTTGTGTAAGCAGATACATTTTTTGACATTTGATTTTCAATTATTAGCTTCTTTGAACATCTTTTCCTGTATAATATTTTCTACTGAAATTATATGCTAGCCCTGGCTAGTTTTGCTCAGTGGTGTCAGCTTCAGCCTGGGTACTGAAGGGTCCCAGGTTCGATTCCAGCCAGGGGCGTGTGCCTTGGTTGCAGGATCCATCTCCAGTCCCAGTCAGGGCATGTGCGGGAGGCAAGCAATTGATGTGAACACATCGATGTTCCTCTCTCTTTCTCTCTCTCTTCCCCCACTTCCACTCTCTCTGAAGAGCAATGAAAAAAAATATCTTCTGGTAAGGATTTTTTTTTTAAAAAAGTATACTTTAGTATAGCAATGTCCAGTTAAAGTCTAATGCAAGTTTCGTATGCTATTTAAATTTTTTTCAGTAAAAAGTAACTGGTGCAACTAACTTTAATAATATATTTTATTTGACCTAGTATATCCAAAATATTACCACTTTAACACATACTCAATAAGAAAAAGAATAATAAGTATATTGTATTTTTTTTTCATTCTAAACCTTCAAAATCCAAGATGTACATAACTACAGCATGTATTACTTAGAACTAGACACATTTTCAAGGGCTTAGTAGCCACATATGACTAATGGCTACTCTTTTGGACAGAAGCCTTAAGGTTTGATTTGAATTTTGGGATATCTATCATTCATCTAAATAACATTGGCAGTTGAAAATTCTTGATGGGAGTACTCAGCATAGACATAGTGTTATATGAAGCTTTGGAAGCCTAAAATATCCAGGGAGGGTATATTTATGGAGAAGAGAGTACCAAATAATCTTCAGCAGTTTCCATCTTTTTAAGCAAAGGACACAGAAATAATCTGATGGTCATGTACTCCAAAGGGGGCCAGTATTTTCAAGATCTGCTTTTCCAACTATGAATAGATCAAAAAAGTTTATGATGTGCAAGATGCATTGCATTTGTCAATGTGAAACTCATTTGTAACTTTTTGAAGAAAGTATTCAGTAGAATGGTAGCGTCGATTTATTTTCCCTTTGGATTGGAATCAGCAAGAACACCTCTCTGTCCTAATGTCTTTTTATTTATTTTTTGTGTGTGTATTCAATTAATATTAGTTTATTTTAATTTTGTTTGTTTAAAATCTTTTTACCATCAATTTCTACAAAAATGGAATAAAATCATTTATTATTCATAACTTACTTTATTTCTTTAGCTTGAGTTAATAGTGGCATTTTTTAAACAGATATTTATCTTCAGTTGCTCTGGAAAGAGCTTCAGATAACAAACTGTCATTCAGAGAATTATCTTAAAATTCTAAGTTTCTAAATATAATTAAATTTTAAATAGCAAAGGAAATATAAAGTTTTTTTCAACTTTTTATTTAAAATATTAACAACAGAATATGAAAAATGAATATGTACTTATATTTAGTCAAGAATTTTACGCTTTGATATTCTCCATAGTTTTAGCTTGAATTTGTTTTCTTTCTTTAGTCCTCACGAGTTCATATAACTAGAGCTGTCCTAGAGCAATTTTTATCCTTTGCAAAATACCTTGATGGTTTATCCCATGGAGCACCTTTGCTGAAGCAGCTTTGTGATCACATTTTATTCAACCCAGCCATCTGGATACATACACCTGCAAAGGTAAAAGTTTATTTTCATTTATTTTATTTTAGTATAATGTTATAAATAATATTTATTGGATCTAAACTATCCTGTAGAAAACATTTGGAATTTTCAGCTTATTTTGTAGTCATTATGAAGCAGTTGTATTAAGTAGTATCAGAAATCAAAATATTCAATACGTAACTATTAAAATAAATGAAACTATAGTTAAAATTATACTGGATGTAATAACTGGATTCTGAAGTCATTAGGTGTGGTTTATACTTTTCCAAGAAAGAGAATTTGGTATACTAATTATTAGAAGACTAAGAAAAGAGAAAATAACAGGTAACCAACTGTAGTATGATAATTGTTATCATGTGATAGGAAAATTGCTTGTATTGTAAATGTAGAGTTTACGTTATGATGTAAATATTATTTGTTTTAAAATAGATATATACATAAGAATTTTTTTTCTAGATATAAACATAAAATTTTTAGTATTTTTACATACCCACACTTACCCCTTTTATAGTCTGGTATAAATCAATAATGAGGGGTATCTTTTATGAATTTGAGCTGCCTTTTGCAATTTTCAAATCTTTCAGTAACTTTGTGTAAATAATGGTTAAGTTTTGACTTTTATTATGATTTATCATGTTCATTATAGTCTAATCTCAAACCTGAAGTTCGTTCACTATTTCAACACGGTATTTGACTTGTCATTTCTCTGTTTACATGGTTAGACTGCAGTATTGTGGCAATGGGTTGTGGTATTTTGAAATTACATGAACTTTTAAGATATATGACAACAATATGTATTTTTGGCAGATATGACATAGCTGTCTGACGTTATTTCTGTTCTTTTGAGCTGCTGAAATGTACTTTGATATAGGGTTTTAGTCTAGTTGAATTTTTGAATAATTTGATCATCTTTTCAGATACTTTGAATGGAAATATAGATTTATTTAAAATTATTTCATGGTTAATAGCTATTACATTACCTTTATTAAAAGAAATGTTATTAGAATGTGTTATTGCAGATTGCTTTTTAATATAAAAATATTTAATAAATATTTATTTTTAACCTCATAATAGATTCTACGTCGTTGGCCTTTACTCATTTTCATTTAAGTTAGAATAGAATGTATATGCATAATATAAACACTTGAAGCATTTTAAGTTTATTTTAATGTTCTGTTAATATTTTGTGTATTAGGTTCAGCTTTCTCTATATACCTATTTGTCTGCTGAATTTATTGGAACTGCTACCATTTATACCACCATACGTAGAGTAGGAACAGTGTTACAGCTAATGCACACATTAAAATATTACTACTGGGTCATTAATCCTGCTGACAGTAGTGGCATTACACCTAAAGGATTAGGTAAGTGTAATACTTACCTGTACTTTACACTGTACTATGATTTTTCTATATTCTGAGTATTGTTATAGTGAACTGATATGCATAGTTATAAGAACATCACTGAACTTTTGTCTTTCTTATAGTAAACTAGTATATTGAGGATTTTTTGTGGTCAAGAAGTTTATAACTCTGCAATATTAAATTATTTTCGGAATAAAGGCAGGTAAAAGAAATAATATTCTACTTTGTAGCCAATATGCTTATTGTGATGCCTGAATATATATTTATAATATTAAAAACATGAATATATTGGTCATTGTCTGTGAATTCTAATACAGTTACTTCAACATTTTGAAATTGTTTACTTGTTTCCCAAACTTCACTATTTCTTACAAGTATAGTAGAAGCTAATTATTCACTGCAGTGTGCTGTTTAAAATATATTGACAGGTTTTCTAATTATATAAAAATACATACTCATTGTAGAAAATACAAGAATATAAAAGAAAAATTATTCATAACCCAAACTTCAGGAATTAACTGTTACAAGTTTGGCATGTGTTCTTTCACTAGTTCTCATTGAATACATGTGTGAAATATTTAAACTCTTACAGAATTGAGATTTTCGCATGTTTTTTATTCTTGGCTCTACATAGTATTATAAGTGGATGTACCATTTACATATTTCTAAACTTTTGATTCTATGAATAATCAAATCTACAAATAATTCAGTGGTCAATTTCATTGTACATAATCATTTACCTCATTTTTTTTTTTCAATGTATCTTTATTGATTTCAGAGAGAGGAAAGGAGAAGGAGAGAGAGAGATAGAAATATCAATGATGAGAGAGCCATTGATTGGCCGCCTCCTACACGCCCCCAACTGGGGATCGAGCCCGCAACCCCAGGCATGTGCCCTGACTGGGAATCGAACCTGATCGACTGGATCCTAGGTCAATGCTCAACCACTGAGCCACGCCCAGCCAGGCTTACCTCATTTTTGATTTGTTTAGAATTACTGAGAAATGGTCTCATAATAAATACTGTCAGTTTTTTTCAGAAATATTGTACCAGTTTACAATTTTACCAGTAGCATGTTAGAGTGCTTTTCTCAGCTTATTGACAATAGCATTGCAAATTATTGTTTTATAAAAATCTTTTTGATAGGTTAAAATAGCATTTCACTACTTTGATAATCCTTTATCAGCTTGTTTTTACATCTTTTATTTTATTTATATCTTTTTATTGATTTCAGAGAGAGAAAGAGAGAGAGAGACAGAGAGAGAAACATCAATGATGAGAGAGTCATAGATCAGCTGCCTCCATACATGCATCCCCTATTGGGGATTGTGCATGTGCCCCCACCAGGAATAGAACCATGACCTCGTTTCATAGGTCCACACTCAACCACTGAGCCATTCCGGCAGCACACCTGCCAGGACTTTTATGCCTTTTATTAATGGGACTTTAAAAATTGTTATTTGAACTCAGATATATTATTCTGTCATTTATATCTCCTTCTGTTGCTTTTAAACTTAACAATGCCTAAAATTTACTGAATGTTTACTATGAGTTGTAATCTATGCTGAGCATTTTACATGTTAATTTTATTTAATCATTTATATGTAATGTAATTATATATATACATATTTACACTTACACATAAGACTGTATCCAATTATCACTATTTTGTTACTTGCATTTTGTAGATTGGGAAAAATAATTCGCAGAACTAAAATTTGAATCATGTTTATCTGACTCAGAGCCCTTGTTCTTGAACACTAACTTTGATAGAGTTTTCTTTGTTTAGGCAAATCATATATTCACACATATCCCTGCTTTAAACAATTAATTTCTAATTTATAAAATATTTGCAATAATTGTACAGGGAATTCTCATATGCCCCTACCATATTTCCCAATGTTTTTACCATGTAGACTTTATTCTCTACTTTTATGTAAATATAAACACACATATATATGCATATTTTTTTAATCATTTGAGAATAAATTATATGTGTGATGCCCTATTACCCCTAAATACTCTCCTGTTTATTTCCTAAAACTTAAGGACTTGTCTTAGATAACCAAAGGCAACCATAAAATCAAGGAATTAAGATTAAATACAATACTGTCATCTAATCCAAAGGTTCCATTGAAATTTCATCAATTTTCTCAATAATACACTTTCTGGGGGGATCTCCCCTATTCCCAGTTGAGGATCTATGTACTATTGGCAAGAGTGGGGCAGAACTGTAGAGAGCAGTATGGGAAATGGGAAAAAGATTTCTTTCTCAAGTGTAGACAGGGTGGATTGTTCGAATGTTAATTTGCTTTGAGATATAATAATCTACAGGTTAATTTTTCCTGAATAAATGAGAGATGTTAGAAATTATACATAAAGAGATTGTAGTTTTAAAACTTATAGAGAAGCTATATAAATCCTGGTTGCATTAAGAAAAGTTTGATGTTTAAGGACTTTCATGGTTCTAGCTACCTAACTTAAAAGCATAATTTAATTATTCTATATTACATGTATTATTGTATATTCTCATTGTTGGTAATTAAATATTTATAGTTAATTACTTTAAAATTTAGTTGTTAAGATGGAATTGATATATATACTTTCATTGCTCTTGTCATTTTCATTTATTGACTCAAAAACATTTATCGAGTGTCCACTATAATATGTATTTGCTATATACAGGTAACATGGAAGAAAAAAGCTGCAAAACAAATAACTACAATAGAGTGTCACTTTTTCTATGCTTTGTTTTATAATGTGTGAGATGAAAATGGAGACAATGTTTAAATGAAGACAGGTTTGAAGATGGAAGAAGTGTTGGGAAAACCTGGATTTGAGGGTGGAAAGGAAACCAACATATTAATAGAAGATTTCTTTCTCAAGTGTAGACAGAGTGGAAAAAGTATCTGTGTAACCACCTGATGATTATACATTTATCAATGTATAGTAATATAATTTTTAAGAACTAATTCTTTCCCCCAAATCTGACATTTAGTGAATAATTTGAAATCACCAAAAATCTAAAAATTAATGTTTAGATTCTTTGCTATAATTGAAATTATACAGCATTAATAGTAATAAATATTATAATTATAATAAATGTAACTATTAAAGAATTCCATAGTATACTAACATTATTTCATTAAGCCTATTTAATATGGATTTTTTTTCTGTGTTTTTTTTTTCTTCTTGATTTTTGTTTTATTTCAGATGGTCCACGGCCATCACAAAAAGAAATTATATCACTACGGGCATTTATGCTACTTTTTCTTAAACAGCTTATACTAAAGGTAAAATAATTTTATGTAATTCAGAAGTATAATATGTTAGGTGAAAAGGGATTTTGGCATAGTTTAAAATCATTATCATACAATTAGCACAAACTGTGTTTAATTCATGAATTGCTTTCAAAAGTTTATAAATCTTACTATTAACTTTTGTTTAATTTGACTTTCTGTTAAATACTCTCTGAGATCCTCTGTACTAAAGGATATAGCACAAATGGCAAGGGACATGTGAATAAGAAACAAGTGTAAAGATTTTATTCCAGAAAATGGTTTGTGTCCCTTATTTGCAAGGCTTACATTAATGTATTTTATCAAAATAGGATTTTTAAAAGATTAAGATTTAAAAAATGGAAAATGAAGATAAAATACACAGTAATGTGAAGTTTTGCAGTAATTTGAATTATTTTAAGAAAAGAGTAAATGCTTGAAAATAGTGATATTAATAAAATTAGATGATCACAATATACTAACTCTTTATAAGGAAGGTAAATCAAATATTAGCAACTTCAGAGAACAGATACAAATTTCTAAATATTTATTTGCTTAACCTGAAGTAATATAGTTTATTGATTATGAAGTATCTAGATATTTTAAATGAAACATTACTTTTTTTAACCTTTTTAATTTTCTTTTAAACATTAGGATCGAGGAGTCAAAGAAGATGAACTTCAGAGTATATTAAATTACCTACTTACAATGCATGAGGTAGGACTTAGCCTGGGTCTTTTATTATAATAATTTTATTCAAAGCATTAGAATAAAATTTTAACTAAAGAAATATTGGTGATTCTTATTACACAGGATGAAAATATTCATGATGTGTTACAATTACTAGTGGCTTTAATGTCAGAACATCCAGCCTCAATGATACCAGCATTTGATCAAAGGAATGGAATAAGGTATGAGTATAATATTAGTATTTTTAATAGACCTTAATTGAGTACAGTTGTGCTTTCTAGAATAGTCCCTATTCCATGCACTTTTGAATAAATATAGCAAAGCCTTATACATTAGAAGGAAATAGAGAAAGCTGTTATAAATCCTCTAATACTCATCTGATGAGGTGTATAGAAAATGAGTCTCAGATCTCAAGAAGAGTAGTTAAATTATTACTATACTGGAGAGAATTACGCTAAGCAAAATATGCCAGCCAGAGAAAGACAAGTGTATATCCAGAATCTAATGAACAAAATAAACTGATGAACAAAATAGATCCGGGGACATAAAAGCATGTAACAGACAGGAATCTCAGAGGGAAGGTGGGGGGTTGGGAAGAGATTAACCAAAGAACTTATATGCATATATGCATATATACAAAACCCATGGACACAGACAATAGTGAGGTGAAGGCCAGGGTGGGGATGAGGGAGTGTAGGGTGTACGGGGTCAGTGGAAAAAAGGGGACATCTATAATACTTTCAACAATAAAGATAAATTAAAAAATACTTTTCAGGTAGTGAGAAGAACAAATTTGTTTTTGTAAGAAGACGAGAGAGTAAGGTAAAATTCAGCAAAAGAGAGCACACAAAAATTATGTGTAGGCTCAAGAGCTAGATAGTGTCCAGGATTGGAGGGTCCATAGAATGGTAAGTTTAGATTTTGTTCTGTTGTTGATGAAAATTAAAGAATTTTTAATGTGGAACTTATTTGCTCTGATTTCCATTTTGTGAAGTATACAGTCAGCTGTGTGGAAAAGAGCTGGAGAGAGACAAAACTGATGTAGTGAAATCAGTAAAGATATTTTATTCATCAGTATTAGAGGTGATGAGTTAAGGTAGTGGTAGTACAATGGCAATAATATAGATGAAAAATGTTTTAGAATGAGAGGACAAAATCAAAAGAATTTGAAGACTAACTTTATTTATGAAAATTATAAAATAATTATGTAGACTAGTTAGACATAGTTTTTTGATTAGTATTCTTATGAAGTTAAACCTATAATGTAGCCCCTTAGGGATTATCCCTTTTTTAGTTTTCTAGAGTCTTGGTTATTGGAATGAAGAAGAAATCTAGGTTACTCCAAGTGCAACTCAATGGAAAAATAAATTAATTTTAATAATTAATATCAACAACTGAGCAGATGAATTAGGATTCACCTCTTATTTATTACAAGTAAATATTCACTAACTGATTTGGGAGTAAATTCCCTATTAATACTGTACTGTGATCCTTTGTATCTTGTTTGTAAGAAACAATTGTCTAATTGTGAAGAAAATCCTAGATGTTTTCATGTGTCAAATGTTAATCATAATTTCTGTTGATCCAGTATAGTTCTTATACCTTTTTTTCTTTTAATTCAAAGTTATTCCTAGAAAATAGGAATTCTGTGGAGTTACTGATTCCATATCTGAGTATAGTCACATTTTTAGGTTTTGAGCTTTTCCTTTGGATCTCAGGATTATTTTTGCCATTAAATGTTTTTTCTTATGATTTCCTGAATATCCGTTTATTTATTTATTTTAAACCTGACCAGAATCGAACCATTATATCCTAGATCATAGGTCAATTATCAATCGCTGAGCCACGCTGGCCAGGTCAATATTTCTTATATGACATCTATAACTTTCCTTATTCTCATACTTGTCTTTCCTCATTACTGATCTTTGTCCTCAAAAGTTCTGAAGTACCTACAAATATTATAATGAATATGACCCTGCTTTTATATTGTATCTGAAGTGACTGTATAGGTTAGGTAAGGTTATATGTTACTAGAGACTTTTTTGCTCCAAGTAATAGAAAACTTCTTAAACAAATTTAAGTAAAAAAGAATTTGTTTGTTATAGAAATCTCATTGTAGGAACCAGGAACTGGAAATAAGTTTTCTTCCTCTGCTTCTTTATATGTATAGACTTGTGTCTGTGAACAAAGCAAGGCTGTCCTATAGTTTCTATTTTAAATTGTTTCCTATTTCAAGAGCCCAGCAAAGACTAAATATTGTTTCTCTGATCTCATTCTGAATTCTGAAAAAGGAGAAATAATCTGGCAGGTCCATGTTCCAAAGGTCAAGTACGAATGTCTGGGGAAATTCTAATAGAAGAGGAAATGTGGCTTCACAAAGCATGTATCTTAAAGTAGACCATTTTTATTGAGTGTGCTGGTAGTCAATACTTATGAACAAGCAATCATATTGCCCTTTTTGTTATATATTTTTGAAAGTCAAGTTTAAAGAAAAATTAATAAAATGTGCTGATTTTTTCTTTTTTCAAAGAATTTGAAATCCTGAGAGGTATTTTATATTTTATGTATGTATAATTTAATTGTAAAGTATACAGTGCTTATATTTTCAATATTTATTCTAGAAGTTGAAAAGATCATCGATTTCTATATTTTTTAGGGTAATCTACAAATTATTGGCTTCAAAAAGTGAAAGTATTTGGGTTCAAGCTCTGAAGGTTCTTGGATACTTTCTGAAGCATTTAGGTCACAAGTAAGTAGATTTTTTTAAAGAATGAATTGTAGAAATGTGTGCTGAAGTTGTATTTTTACTACTTTTGTATCTAATGTAACATGAACTTTGACTGGAATAATCTTACAATGGAAAATAATAGCTTCCTGTGGTAAAAGTTGCAAAAATATTTTATAAAAAAATGTTTATCAATAGTAAATTATAGAACAAAATCACAACTTCACGGATATAATGCATTCTTATTTGCTTGCTGAAAAGAAAATATTGTTAATTTTAAGGATATAATACAATATTTCATCAAATTATATCCACATATGGATATAATTTCAGTGAAAACTTACTTCACTCAGGGAATACATGTATATTATGGTTTCCTTAAAGCTGTTTCTTTGCTTATGTGCTAAGTCAGTATTTTATTATTTTTTTATTCTTTTCTAACATTGGGCTTATTGATTACTTTTGTGATTTGAAAATCCCAGAATATATTTCCCCCAAAGTCCAGAAGTCAGATACTTTAAAAACAAATCATCTGCTGATATAATGAGTTATTTTTATATTGTTTTTGCAGTGCATGATTACTCTTTTTTAAAATCTTTTTTTTATGCTAATAAGGCCAAGAAATCAGTGCTTTTATTTAAGTGTTGCTACATGGGATTCCTCTCAAAAACTTACTGTTGTCAGTTCGTTTTGCTGTTTAAACAGACCAAGAGTTTACTGATAACACTGATGAAAACTGCACAAAATCCAGATAAAACATGTCTAGCTTGCTAAATAGTCTAGAAGAATAGATATTATTTTCATTTTGGTGCAAAAGCTGTAGTTGAGTAAGGGATATAAGAGATATTAAAGATATAGTGACTAATTCAGTATAGCCAGGATTGTAGAAAAATGTTACCCATTTATAAGGAACAGTATATAGAATACTGAGAGTGAGAAACATATGTACTTATAATATTAAGAGATAAGGATTGCTTATTTAAATAGATTGATTAGGAGATATTAATAAAGGATTTTAGCCAAGATGTATGTCTTAAAAGTTAAGAAAGAACTTTAAAAAAGATAGAAATGTGAAAAATATTGCTATGAAGTACATAATTGTGATTAAAATTTTACTGTAAGTTAAAAAATAAGAAACAAATTATTTGCCTCTGATGAAGGACAACTACTAAGCAGAATTTCAAGAAGTTGGAAGAAATGGTAGTACAACATGGAAATATTGAATCAGCAACTAACATAACTTTGGTGGAAAAACGGAATGGATAGCATACTAAGATACACAGAAGATAAAATTGGAAACAGAGCAAATAATATGTATTGATAAGAACATAACAGTTTATAAGGATTACAGAGAAAATTATTGATGTAGAAAGTACAGAAGTTCCAACAGTGGCATAATAGAGTTTTCATATAAGAAAAGTGGTATATAAAGCTCTAATTCAGTGAAATCCTAATATAAGATTTTACCATTTATACAAAAGGCCATACCAGGGAAAATTTCTTGAATGATCATTACAGGAATATACTATTAGATTTAAATATAAGTAAAGAATCCTTTGTTTAGCGGTACGCAAATAAGGAGAAAATATATATTGAGTCTGGCCTTAACTTTTCTACAACAACCTTCAATATAGGAAATGTAGAGCACCAACCATAAGGCATAGAAATGAAGAAAATTGGAGCCAAAGTATCCTTTAAGTAAAAAGGGTGCTAACAAACAAATTTTAACTGTACAAGGAATTGTGTGTGTTTTTTCTGAATAATTCTTGAGAAAATTGCTGGGGGATGAAATGAAGTTCAGCCTTTTGGGAGAACTAGACAGACTACAGTTAAGGACCACTGGAGAACAGTGCATTAATTTAACAGCAAAACCAAGATTAACACAACTGTTTGAAGTAGAGTTCCAAACCAGAATTTACTTTTTATAAGATCTAATAATGTAGAAATGGTACAATTATAATAAATTGGGAAAGGACTGAAGAAAGATGAAAAGTGGAATAGACCCAAAGAATCAAATGATACCCGTGTAAGCTGATAAAAGAAGTATTAGAAATATAGGTCTATTGGCTAAAATTTGATGGCAGGAGAGAAGAAAAATTAAGAGTAAATATGCTGATTATCATTGCTCATATTAGGAAAATACACTTTCTAAACATGTATAAAGGACTTCTTATTCCTTTATAGTTACAAAGATAAGCAGTTCAATAAAACTATGAAGCTTTCAAAATATTAAAGAAAATATTAAAAAAACAAATCACAGTTCTATATTCAAGAAGCATACTAAAAACAATGAATTAGAAATGCTGATAATTAAAGGATGAGTAAAGGATTAGCACATAAATACAAATGAAAAAAAGTAATCGTGACTTAATATTTAACAAATTAGAATTTAAGACAAAAGTAATAAATAATATAAATAAGGATACTTTATAATATCAAAGGGTGAAATCTTCATGAAACAGAAATTGAAGGCGAAATATACAAACATTAATAGTTTAAAACATTAAAACAAACAGTAATTTATTGATCTTGATTCAAAACAAGCCAAGAGAGAAAGAAATCTAAATAATAATGGAAATCCGATAAATATAGCTTGAACTCTCTATCTTGTTAATGAAGACTACAACTTTAAGTGCCCAAGGAGCATTTATGAAAATCTGATGTGGTGTTGTAGACATCAGAAAAAAATTTCAAGACATGGAAACAAAACAGAAAAGATTCAGATTATCTTATCAATATGCAATAGCATTAGGAAATAATAACAAAGTCACAAACCAAAGAATCTTCTGCCTACAGATTTAAAATTTATTAAACAATATTTGTTTCAAAGAGAAAATACACACTGAAATTGCAGAAGTTATAAAAAATAACTTCAAAGAAATATAGTATATAGCTGAAGACTTAGCTATATATTTTCTTAGTGATCTTGGAAACATCCTTGAGATTCATTTTTTACCCTATAAATAAATAAAACCACACTGATTCCCTCACTTTGTTTTTAGGATAAGTGATAGAGCAGATATAAAGTGGTTAATTACAGTATATTGCCATGAAATAATTTGAATAGTTAGCAAAAAGGTAATATGTACAATTTAACATGTAGTTCTCATAAAATCAGAACATTTCTTATGTATAATAAAATATAGATCTTAAAGAGTTGACATAAAATAAATATGAAATACTGACAGCATTCAGATCAGCAGTGAGAAAAATGTTCAGACAATAATCTAATCATGACTTATTCAATGAAACACCCAATTATTAGGGAGGAGAAAATAGCTATCATTTATAGATGGTTTTATTATATAGCTAAAACCCTAAGAAGAATCTTTAAAACTATTAAAAAAATGAGATACTGCCCCAACTCAGCATCTTAGTTGAATATGGAGGAATTGTTTGTCTAACAGCAAATCTTACTGGGGTCCAGCAATGAAACTAAACTGAAGACTGTGTGGGTTGGTCCCTTGTAATACATAATGTATTATTTCTGTCAAGTGCCTGGAATACACTTTGTGAGATAATCCATACACTGTAATTGTTAGCTGAACTAGAAATAGGTTTGATATCTATTATTAAAATCGAGAAGTTTGTTCCAAATAATATGTGCTACAAATCCTCCCTCCTGAAGATGGAACTTAAATCTTTTCTTCATGAGTATGGGATAGACTTACTGCCTCCCTTTCAAAGAATAAGAAAACATGGCAGTGATTTTCACTATTGATTAAGGCTGATATCAACAGTCATACTCTTCACCTTTGTATTATTCTTCTAATAGATAAATAATTCTAATGTAATCCAGAGAAAGCCTTATACGTCCCCAAATTGAGGTACATTCTATAAAACATTTGACCAGCACTCCTTAAAACTGTTGAACAGCAGGAAAAGCAAAGGACAGAAAACTATCACACATCAAAGGAGTATAAGGAGATGTGGTGACTAAATGAAAGGCGGTATCATGAATTGGATCCTGAACAGAAAAACTGCATGAGGGAAAACTATTAAATATGAATAAAATCTGTAGTTTAGTTGATAATATTGTATCTCTGGTGATTTCTTAGTTTCCACATGCATACTATGATTTCCATGATTAGATAAGATACAAACATATGAGGAAGTTGTGTGACTACTAGATAGGACCACTCTGAATTGCTGTTTAACTTTTCTGTAAATTTTAAAGGTTTACAAAACAAAATATTTGGATATATGCTTCACTAGAAAAACAAAATGTTACTTGGGGGAGATGGCCTGATTACAGTTATCCTCAAAACATTTTTTTAAAAAATATATCTTTTATTATTATTATTATTGATTTCAGAGAGAGGAAGGGAGAGGGAGAAAGAGAGATAGAAACATCAGTGATGAGAGGGTTGTCATTGATCAGCTGCCTCCTGCACATGCCCGACTGGGGATCAAGACCACAACTCGGGATGTGCCCTCACCGGGAATTGAACCGTGATCTCCTGGATCCTAGGTCAGATGCTCAACTGCTGAGCCATGCCCATCCAGGCCTCAAAACAGAATTTTAAGAAATGACTCAAATAGATGTTCAAAATGCCCAAATTCAAAATAAAGGGGACACCTGGTTAAGATAGTAGAGTAGGTGAACTCTGTGCTCTCCTCCTCCCAGAACCACATCAAAATTACAACTAAATTATAGAACAGCCATCACTGAAATCACCTTAGGACTAGTTGAACAATATTTCTATAAGGAGATAAAGAAGAAGCCCTTTGAGACTGTTAAGAGAGATGGAAACGTAGAATGGAGAGCTCCCACACCCACAGTATAGTGACTAGAATCAGAAGAGATATCTCAGTTGCAGTGTTTTCACCTGTGGAACAAGGGGTACCAGCCCTACCTGGGGCTCTTAGTCCAGACAAGCGGTGTTGGGAAGAGGTGTCTCTTTATCATCTAATTAATAACCGGAAGGAATTGCATTTGAGTGAGACTGAGGGCTGGTAGAGACCAAATTGCTCCTCTTGAGGCGCCCACACATGGATTCTCACTCATAAACTCACTCAGTTTA